GTTAGAACACCGGGAATCAAATACCGCAATCCGGCATCTGTCATCCTATTGCTAAAGGCAGTCGGTGTCGATGATGTTATTATCTCAGCGAGGAATATGCGTACGTCATGAGTTTCTACTTTGTATTGTCACATTGCTTGTTCAATTTCTTTTTTCGTTACTCAGGAGCTTTTTCTGGTACCTCAATAGTCGAGAAAGCACTTGAGCAATTATACTCTTTGAATGCCCTCGACAATATCGGGAAGATTGAGAGAAGAATGGCCGACTTGCCACTTTGCGAAAGTTCTTCCAGTGTCAAGGGTGAATTGCTATATTCATATTATTTGATAACGTTAACGCGCAGATCTTAATATCTTTTATACTTTCAGCAAAGTCTTCGTAAGTGATAGGATATGCGTTTGGTTTCCCTTATGACAACATGTAAGCTGTTACAAAAAAAAAACAGTATTGGTTGACTATACAATGTTGTACCTGTTTCATCGATGCTTTTAATATTAGCGCGCTCAATAGCTATACGACAAAGTGCTGCCAAATCAGTAGCAAGGTAGCCGTGGCATTTGTCGGAGATGTCGTCCAAGTTGATATGGGGAACTGTCTTAAGGCCATTAGTCAATGTTTTCAATATTTCGCGTCTCTGTGCGGGTGTGTGGCAAGTCGAGATGAATCTCGTCCTAGTTGACGCAAACGTTAGATTAACAGTATAAAAATACAGCCCGCCGCAAATATCACTGTACCTGGAACATGGTTCTGACAAGCGAGTTGAGATATCTTTCCGATCTATTCAGGTGTTATGTAATTGGATGAAGACTATTATTTTGATAAATTGGTAACTATGCTGCTTATTTGTAGAATTTGACAGGAAAGAAAAGCTCTATATCCTCAAAGATGACTGTCTGAAGGGAAAGAATCAATACTGTTAATCCGATCAGCCAGCAATCATTACAGATTACTTACGTAAACACGGTTCTTCTTTCACAACTTTGGTCAAACAAGTCCATATACCTTTATCTGGATATGCAGGAAATTCAGCCGCTAGGTCTCAACCGTAGTGGAGAAAATCTAGTCGATGTGTAGAACGAACGAATTCCGGGCCAAAATATCACCTTGACTTTAAATAGTTTGCAAGATGCGTTATTATATAAATTTTTCCAATGCCAGTAGGTCCGTTAACAAGAAGTAATCCCAGAATTTAAACGTTATGAATCAAACATTCGTCTCTTCTGTTGAATGCCAGATCGAACGATTGACTACATTATCATTATGAAAGTAATTCAAAGCACAAAGTGAATATTAATGTTAACTGTGGCTGGGGAGATGAGCTTTCGTGTTGCACAAAGTCGCACGTAAATTTTATTATTCACTCAAAAACTCAATAAATACATTCAAGTGTAAAATTATTTTCAATTTATTTCATAATAATATACTGAAACCTGTCTGTTGTCATCACGAGCCTCGCGGCTGCTTTACCGCGGTCTTGCAGCTCGAGGCGGGTTTCGTCGCGGCTGTGCCGTATCGACGACCCTATAAAACAACATAAATAAATACCGTAACCTGTAATAACGTAAAATTTTACTAAAAACTTACTGCCTTCTGTTCGAACTTTGCGGTCTTGCAGCTCGAGGCGGGTTTCGTCGCGGCTGTGACGGCTGTGGCGTATCGGCGACCCTATAAAACAAACGTAAATAAACACCGTAACCTGTAATAACGTAAAGTTTTACTAAAAACTTACTGCCTTCTGTTCGAATTTTGCGGTCTTGCGGCTCGAGGTGGGTTGCGTCGAGGCTGAGGTGGCTGCACCACAGTTTCCCTTTAAAGCAAACACTATTAATATCTTGGCAAAACTTAATGATAGATGACGTCACAAAACTTACTGATTCCTCGTGGTGACCGATGCTTGCTGGGTCGAGGAGTCTGGTACTTGTGGTGGAGGTGCTATTTCAAAAAAAGAAAAGTTTTACTTCACTAGAACCGCTTTATAAATGAGTATTGTATATTGAGAGTGTTTTTTTTAACTTAGTTTACCTTGATTATCTTGCACCGCAGCTCTACTTTGTCGTGGCCTTCTATCAACCACGGGCGGAAGGAAAGGGGACATCCCTATTTGAGGAAAAAATAATATTTGTTTAAATAAAAAGAAACAACAAAAAACGAATAAATAATTTAATGAGTTCATTTATCTTACCCCGTTGAGGAGGATGATTTCCCCGAGGCACCAAGACAGGTCTATTTCTCGGAAATAGCCTATTCATTGCATTAGTCGCCCTCAAACCCCACGGTGGAATAGGGTGAGGACGTCTTTGCAGCGTAACGGAGACATAGTCTGCCGGGCGGCTCATTGCCAGATTGAGCCCCCTGAGACTAAGTGCCAGTCTCCGCTCTCTCTCATAGAAAGCTTGAGGAGCGATATGCTCCTCACGCTGCGATATCCAATGAATAGTTACCTGCCTTCGGTTCTCCCTTTCCTCCTGACGCATTCGCTGGCTATACAAATGCCAGCGCGAAAATCTTCTCGTTTCGTCCCACCTTGGCAGGTCTCTCCACTGCTGATAATCTTCGAGGCGCCTCAGATAAGCCCGGCGCCTTGCGTTAAAGTGACGGCTTATCTGCCAGTCACAGTACGCCAGATGTAGTCCTATGATAGAAGCTATGGAAAAAAGAATAAAAATATATGGTTGGTAGTATCCCTGACCTGCAGGAATACCACCGGTTAGCCAAGAAAATACGACAAGAATAGTTGATGCGACCAGCGCATCAAAATGGCGCCTCCTGATGGAAGCGAGAGCGACGTGAACTTGCTCTCCATCCCTCGCCAGTTGTGCTGACACAACAAAACTCGGAACGGAGAAGAAATTTTGTGCGCTTGTGTCGTATGCCATTTGTAAAAGCCGCTAGTTATCTTTTCGCAAGGTAAAAAGCGTAAAGCGCGTTATCTTGTTTACAAGGAGTTTTTATTATTTTTTAGAGTTCACGTGATATTTACGATTGAAACACGCGTTACGATTGCGTCAATTACTGCAGACATTAAAATTGCGTCATTACTACGTCACTATCACGTCAACTACTGCGGGTGTTAGAACAAAGTACCATGGGGCTGTTATACGAGATACTTGTAAAGTATCATGGTATTTATTAAATCTGCTTGATGTCACCACACATTTCTAAAGCCATCAACGTTTCATAATGCTCTCCCTCAATTTCCACCAATATATCGTTCTCCTTAATATTAACATCATTCAATCTCACTATCGAATATTAAATCATCCTCTGTTCCATCCTCTCTAACTGAAATCTCACAACTATCATAGTATCCCCCTAGTATAATACCACTATCCAGTCAAAATAGCACCCCATGGTATAACGTGGTTTTGTGAAATACCACCGGTGCTTTAGTCCGTGAAATATGGTATTTTCTTAATTTTCGACAATTAAGTTAACCACTTTCGGAAACGATGCGGCTTCAACGTTAAACATATGCTTGCACAGTTGGATAGTTTCTGTCATGTTTTTGCCGCATGTAAGAATGATAAAATTTCCTAGGGTTCAACGTCCGCATAGAAAGAGTTGTGCGGTATCAACGACTGCTTGTAAATTATTTGTGTTTCGTAAATCGATAAGATTCTAGTACAACTTTCCCATTATTTTTTGAATGGTTAATTTGATCGCAAAACTTCAGCCGTCCAGACTTTTTTGTTAAAAGTGTCCCAAACTCGTTGCTAAATACCGCGTGTCTGTCATTGTTACTGGATTTGAAAAGGACGTAAAGATATTCAGTTTTCTATAATTGGCAAAAATGGAATCATCAGGCGTTGGCAATGATCGGTTACAGATAATGCATGAGACATCCAGACTTTCAACCGCCTAACTATTAGCATGTCACCAAGTTTGTGTATGCGGCATACGTCCCAAGCACAGTTGAAATTATGAAATCAGCTAAGGTATTGTAGAAAAAGCCATAATCGGAAGAGACATAATGAAACGGAAACATCTGTAGTTAAACAATTTGCTTCCCCTGTACATTCTCTCGTTCAACGCGCAATGCTGCCCCTATGGCGCTAACATTAAATGTATACATATTGTCTATATAGTACAACGTGCCTCCATGTATATTCCTAATTATAATGAAGGAGCTGTAAAGTTGTAGTCGTCTTTAATCGTTATCCCGTCACCATTCAAACCATTTATTACATTTTCGAAAAACACACCTATTTCCTTCATAAACATAAAATTATCCATTAAACTTCGATTTCTATCTCTTAAATTTGATAATCACGAGGGGAAAAGCTTGAAACAAACATATTCTTATTACTATTTACTCTTATTATGATTATGGTTTAACTGCTCGTTTAATTACTACAAGTTACTAGTATTAGCAAGTGGATACAGCCGAAGTTGTGTATCAACGATCTGTATTAATTAATAGCACAGCCTTCGACTGCCCAGCCCCTTCTCCGCTCTAACAAATTTCTTTCCCCTTATCCTTTTTACTCTTGTTTTTTAACTCGGAATGTTCTTTAATACAACGTTCCATATGCCGAACGGCACAAGACCCAACGTTTTTTTGACCCAAAGAACATCAGTTTTGATCCCCATCGGCTCGGCTGGGCATTCTCTGGCATTTGCACATTAATTGCATGTCATGCGAAATTACAACAAAGTGGGAATAGTAGAAAGGTGCGGCTATAAAGAAGAAAAGGTTTGGGTATTGTGAACATATGAAATATAATAACATATCCCATCCGGTTCTCACATCCTTTGACTTTCCTCCACGCCTCACATTCGTTTTCTAACGACAACCCGACCATCAGCGTTACTTAATACGTATCTGTCTTATGTCACCTATATATGCTCTAACCTTATGGCTGGGCTATCCGAGAGTACTTGTTACATAAAAATCCGTGATTGTTACAAAGCATTTGTACTGGCTTCGTTCGTCATTCCCTTATTTAAATATCTTGGTGACTCACCTGAAGAACAGAGAAAACAGTTACTCAATACATATATTAATCGGATGATACAGTTGTACTATCTTCTAAATTCCTACTCGATCTACGTGGGGGTGTACTACTCAGTAAAGACATATTAACAATTAAAGTATTTCGCAATATCAGCAATGTTTTTATAAATTCAGCCAGAATAGAAGATTACTCGAATAATTAATTGGGATTGTTGATTCGTGCAACTTACGTGTATAATAGCGGTGAACTTCATACTTATCTCTGACGAGAACATTTAACAACATTTTTAATCCCGCAACCTGCACTCCAATAATTCCAAATTGGTTCTTTTCTGGCCTACGACTTTTATGAACCCAGTACATCCCATCGTTTGTTTCGCGCCAAAGTTTCACTCTATCATCATCTTCTTTTTGCGTAGTACAAATAATTCTCGAACATTCTGCATACATAAGTTCATAAATCTTGCTATCCTCTTTTGTAATAAACATAATATCTGGTCGTCTTCCCATTCCGCCATCTCCTCTCCTATCCGCACTTGCGACACTTTGACGTTCGTAACTAAATATATATTTATAGTTAATTTTCTCAACAATAATTATTATATATCATATAAACTTACGTGGTAATAAATGCACGCTCGCCAAAAGGATTATCAGATAATGAAGCATGTGTTGCAGACACGACCACATTATTCACATAAGTGCCCTCGTCCAATGATTCAATAAAATCATCATCAAAAGCTGGATTACACCAAATATTTCTTATCGAATCTAATATCTTTATCGCAATTTCTTTAAGCTTGTCATCACTCTCCTTCCATTTTCCATCATGCCATAAACCGGAACGCAATCTCAACTCTCTTCGTGGCAAGAAACTTGATACTAATTTATTACATCCACCAAATATACTCGAAGGGATTGTTGAAGGTACCATTTTTTATCGGTTCTGATATAAGAAAACTTTCATTATAAAATTTAGTTTATCTGAATTGCTTACTGAAAAATACGGATGATTCTTACCATGAATTTTTCCTTCTGCTTTTTTGAACTACTAACGAATCGTGGCTAATTACCTGGCTAGCTAAAGGATTATCCAGGTTCAGCTCGGAAACAGATATCCCATTCAAAATTTTAACTAGCTCTCGTTGTAGCTTTGATGCGCCATTCTTGAAAAAAATATATAATCTCATAAAAATACGTGAAGTGAATATATATATATTGCAAATATAAAATTACCAACCATGAGTTTCCCCTTCAACTGTCACTTTATTTCGATGTGAAAAATTTATACAATATGCTGATAGTGACACATATTTATATTATGCTTAATTTCTTCTACGCCGAGCGGTTTCTCCTTATTCTGTAAATAAAATATTATGTTATAAATCTTTTTTAATGTTCACCCCCCCCCACTTAAAACACACCGTTTTTAAAACGCCAATTTGATGCAAATTACAGACGCTATCAAAAGCGATATCGGACTAACGCGGACATAAATTAAGTTAGAAATCAATGATGCATCAATAATAATATAGGTCCAACCGCGCGGTTGTCAGAATATTACAAAGTCATCATCCGGTACGGCCTGGCTACACGAACGAGACTTTGTGTGATACTGAAATAATCATAGAAGCAAGGCATTTGTCTATAGCATAAATACCCTCCACACTGTCCAGGAGAAATTCCTTTGGTGGGCTAATAGGAACTTGAACTATTATGCTAGCTTCCTCAGAATAATGTATCAGATCCGCGTATTCATCATTCGACTAGTAATAATCGAAATTTAATTCACATGTGTCATATCGAACAAAATCTCCTTCACTTAGACCCATTCACCACTTGGTCAACAATCACTCTTAGTGCGTCTTTACTTATCCACGTATTCTCTTTCAGCCCTTGATAGATGACTGGGGCGGACATAATATGGTCTGTTTTTAAGTTGGTCAAATAGTCTACTATTACCGTGTATAAAGAACAGTAATTATTTGAATACACCCGCAGAAATATAAAGTTTTTTATATCGTTCGAACAAATCTTACTGATATTTCCTGTATGGTTTTTACATTGAATGAATATTGTACAATCTTCCACAAATCAATTGGACAATTATTTATACGTTCTACGCAAAAATTAGGAATTACGTCATCTTTAATGCTGGTCGTACTATTGGCTAAAACAAGTGGAACGACACATCATACCCGTTCACACAAATGTTTCAAGATCAATCGGCTAACAACACATATAAAGAGTGGCTAGCTAATAGCGTCCGGGAAGGATTTATCAAACAATATTCAGAAAATGACATAAATCGTACACTTCTCAGTCAAGGTGGATATGGCATCGTATTCAAAGCCAAAATAAAGCCTTCTGGAATATCAGTCGCAATGAAAACTTTGTTTCTCGGACGATATGGAAGTGAAGAAAAGTTATATAAAAAGTTTACCAAAGAGGTTCTCAATTGTTTCTTATGTTTTAATTACTTGTATTAAAATTAATTGACAAGTATAATATACGTGCAATAGCTGAAAATTCATAAGCTGGTAAATGATCATCCAAACATTATCCAGTTCTTAGGAATATGTCGAGGTATTTTAAATGTATATCAGTTTTTATTTCCCGTTTTTCTTGTGCACATGGCATTGACTATTGCATCTCTACTCTTTACACTTTATTATTTATAATGTAACAGATTCTGGTCAATATCACATGGTCTTTGAATATGCAGATGGGGGAACTTTGCGTGAACACTTGCAGAAGTACTTTCCTAAATTGACATGGATGGACAAGTACAAGCTGAGTGTGGAGATTACTGATGGGTTGATGTACTTACACAGTCTTGACGTTGTTCATAAGGATTTGGTATGTATCAATTATACAGCTTCCTTAACTCTTATACATTGAGATTTTTCAAATCAATTGCTTTTACTTTAAATTTTGAGACTAGTCTTCAACAAATGTCCTTATTCAGAATGGAATTGCAAAAATAGCTGATTTTGGATTGTCTGAGGCCCTCAAACAAATCATATCTACATCAGAGGGTAAAGGGACTGCAGCATATATTGATCCATTATATTTTCAAGTTGATTCTTATAAACGCGGAAAAAAATCAGATATATTCAGCCTTGGAGTAATACTTTGGGAGATTTCGAGTGGAAAACTCCTGTGTGAAGGAGCTACTGAAATTTGTAAAATTATTTTATACAGATTGGAGGGTTTCCGTGATTCAGTCTTTCCTGGAACCCCCACATACTACATCGATCTATATTCAAAATGTTGGGATGAAGATCAAAATAAACGTCCCTCATGTGAAGAAGTAAATAGGCTACTAAAGTCATTGTTTACTCAGTTACACACAGATTATTATAACCGACTTGGAAACACAGATGTAACAACTTTGGCAAAGGCTCTAGAGACATCCATAGAATTGATTTCGCCTGCAGCAAAAGTGATGTATTTTTCCAGTGTAACTGAACTATTCGCTATCATTGAGCGAATTATTGTGCTTATTGACACTGCAAAATACAATAGAGAAGAATTGGTTTGCATGAAGATGTATATTACAGAAGTAAAACAGACAATCCGTGACAACAGTGGAGCAATGAAGAACGAATATATCCCAAGTTTGATGGAGATGTTGAAAAAATGGGAAAAGTTTCTGGTCCAATGTACCAAGCCTAAAATGAGAAAACTATTGACTATCCTTAGTGCTGATGAGGTGAGCATCAACAAAAATGATCTCTTATATCTAAAGAGAAAGTTGAATTTTCATTTCTGCTATAAAATTTTTAACTCAGGTAGATCGAAAGATGCATGGCTTATTTGCCGATCTCGACAATGCCCTCAATGCTGCTAATTTAAGAGTAACCTTGAAAAACAATATACGTCTTAGAGTGATATTGGGAATCACGGAGAGGATGGATGAACTCATGGACTTGGATGATGAGTTGAGCGCTTTGCACATTGATGTCAAAGCTGTGAAAGGCATTGAGGCAATTTGCCATGGCATTCCATTATCTCATGAAACAATAGACAAACTAACGATTGACCCAGTATATATCTATCCCGCTCATTATGATCAACCCAATGATGATGGTCCTACAAAAGTTATATATCTTAGAAGCGTTTATGCTGCAAAAGTTAAAATTGCAAACGCACATGAGGACATTAGTAAGTACTGGGTGCAGGCCTTTATCAGCTCCAGATTGAATATGGATTTATTTTTGAAAATGTATGTATTCATCATATATCACCGATCTTCATTATCTGTTCACTGACGAATATTATCGTTATCATAGCTATGGTATTCTACTGGACGGAGGGATTTACTACATGATTGTAGAGTGGCCGGGGAAGGGAACGCTCTACGAATACCTTAAGAGACACAGAACTATTCCGTGGACACAAAAAAATTATGGACAATTCAATTAGCACGTGCGCTTGCCATTTGTCACAGTAGGCTTATTCTGCACCATGACGTTCGCAGGTAGGGAAATGATGTTGTGTTAGACTTTTTCTAGCCACATGTTCAGCTAACTCGCTTTTTTTCCCTCGAAATTTAGTCATAATGTGATCGTGGATATGAACGACAACGTCAAATTAGCAAACTTTCATCGCGCCAGAGGAATAAAAGATATTACAACTTCGATTGCTGAAGAGACTGATGCTCTCAGATGGTTATGTCCTGAAAAAATGAAGGATGGGCACCTTCCTTACTCTACGTCGGCCGATGTATACAGGTATGTATGCGATGTCATCGTTCGGTGATAATTACAGCAAAGTCTCAAACCATTGACAGCGCTTGACGTTATTATATTACTTATCTGTTGGCTCAATATGTAGCTTTGGCATGCTTTTGTGGGAACTAACTTCCCACGAGGTTCCTTTCTCAGACAAGTCCCTTGGCGAAGTATATACTTTATTAAAAAATTCAGATGCAGTCAAAGAACAGGATGCTCCGCGCCCGCCAATAGTGCCTGGTACACCAGAAAAGTACGCGATTATAATGCAGAAATGTTGGAGACAGGTTCCTGGGAGTCGTCCAACAATGCAATACGTCTTGCGAAAGTTAGAAAAACTGGTTTACAATGATTCATTTGATAGCGCTAGTAGCAGCATCACTGAATATGATCCATACGCTCCTACATATTCAAACGTAACGATACAAACAGCACGCAGGTTACACGTTGGAAGGCATTACGAGCAAGCTTTTGAACAATTCAAGATATTGGCTGATAAGGCTGAACCAAACCCAGAAGCAAACCTTTATGTTGGCCGATATCTGATCGACTCTAGAATACAGTTCAATCGCGGAACTGGAGAAAGCATTAAAGATCCCGTTGTAGGAATGAGCTATTTGGAAGTAGCCGAAGATTTGGGATGCAATGAGGCAATTCAGTTTCGTGCTCAGGAGAAGATGGCAGCCGCCACAAGAATACGAAAGCAACTGCTGAGTACAGGTGACGATACAGGTGCCGAAATAATTCTGGGGAGAATGAAGACCGAGTGTTTAGATCTGTTTCGTGATGGTGCAGAAAAGGGTAACATACGCTGTATGAAAGATCTCGCTGACTGTGGAGCAAAGTTGGGCGATAGACAGAGTTATATAGATGGTCAAAGGATGTTGAACAACGTAATCGTCAACGCGAGAAATTTTGCGGAATGAGAGAAAGCGCAAGAGTATTTGATGAAATTGCAACAACATAATAATAGCCAGTTCTTAAATTAATTGTGCACGATGTTTATACGGAATAATTAATATGGTGTCATTTTGGCGAGCATTTTTATAGCCCCAGTGGGTAAGGGAGGGACTACGTGTATAGGGTATTAGGTATGAAGAACAAGGACATGCAAAAGCTATTCCATATCAATATGCAGTGTGTTAAAGAAAAACGGCGGTGAAAAAAACTGTACATTTCAACAATTACTGAATCCAATTAAATAATTTTAAGTTTGTTTGAAGAATTATTAGTTTACCATAATATGCTACCACCATTATTTTCTTGAGGATTTCTTCATTCATAAATTTCATTGACATTCGCTTTTAATGTCGATTAAATGGAATAAATCTCGTGACGTATACTTTAGGTCAGCTCTTCTCGTACAGCGAGTTTGCAATATTTATTCAAAGCTTGCGCTGCGTATTTAGTGCGGAGTAGTCCTTTGACCCGTGGGGCAACAATGCGCAGAATTGAACTAGGCCAACTTGTCAAACTTTAGGTTAATTCTAATACTCTGACTTCCCCTCATTTAAATGAGTTCCAGGGGAGAACCAAAAGAAAAAAACCGAAAGGAAAATAAAATACCAAAAAGACTGAACCGCCCCAGAACTGGCTAAGAAAACTACCGTTCAAGAACATAATTAAAAACTTTCGCTCTGCTGAGTGATTAGATTGAATATTATTTTTCTTTAAATTTTCTTTTTCTTCACAAAACGCCGAAAAACAATTTTTGTTTTTTTGGTTTTTTATTATAAAAGTTTGTTTTTGTTTTTTTGGTCGGCACGAGTGAAGCCTCGCAGTCCGGGGTGTTGTGCGGGTGAGTATGCCCCCGCGAAGAGGTGTAACAATTACTTTTATTAACTTTAGGAGCAGGACTTGCTTATTACTTTTTAATTTATTTACCGGAAGAAAAAGGTAGACAAAAAAGACAATTCAGTTCAAATTCACGAGACACTGAAAGTAAATTCCCGGAAGAACTTCAAGAAGAGTTAGAAAATGATGCTTGAGAAAAAGGTAGAATTTGAGAATTGCCAGTTAACAGTTGAGCAATTGCCCGAAACTGCCAAGCAAAAAATTGAGGAAGAACGGGAAAAGATAATGAGCCGATAGATTTTTTTACTACTTACGGTGAAGTAATTCATCAGTGTTGTGTAATATCGTGGCTCTGTTGCATCATATGCAAGGCTGTCTTATTGTTTTTTCATATAAGGGGGCTCTTATTCATGGATGGGTTGGTTGTAGATCATTTTGCATTGTTTTTAAGCCCCCCATCGTCACGTAACTGTTGCCCGCGTTATTTTCGTTTATTACATAATCATGAGCTGCATATATCATATATGGCGTTATTGGTTGATAATAAAGTGGGTGATGAGGGGGGTAGGGGGGTTAACCGTTTTCAAACCATTACAGATCTTATCACATGATCGCCACTTTTATATAGGGGGGCCCTTATTCATGGTGGGCTCTTATTCATGAGAGTTTACGGTATATTATTTCTCTTTTTTTTTTTATTTCATTTTTTTTTTTGTGTTTGTTTGTGTTGTTTTTTTTTTATTTCGTTTTTTATTTCGTAGGGAACTTGTATCAGAAAAACGGAAGATAAATTCTGAGAGATTGAGAGATGAAACAATGGTTACTGACACCCAGCACTTATTCATTACCTTCATCACCACCATCACTAAAATCTCCTAAATTTCGTTGTTTGCGTAACATTTGTTTAGGTCCGTTCTTCGCTCGTGTTCTACCGCGTTTCTCTAAAAATTTGAGATTACATTAAGTACGAAGAGGACTATTTGTTATATCATGTATTACTTTAGCCGAAGAATGCCGCGGAGCCATAATGTTTAATTGTTTGGCTTTGGCTTTGAGCTGCAATTCTCAGAAAGTATAAACAAAAGGAAATACATATCAAACAAAAGTACCTGCTTACTAGACATCAAAGTTATTACTGTCGCTTATGAATTACAAAAAAACTAAAATTTATTGACTATATTTTTTTAAACACTTAGTATAACAAGAGTTAATCGATACAAAAATATTGATTTGCATATTAACATGCATATTTAAATTGTTGAGTAATCCTCCACATAGACATTAGACAGCGTGGTAGTTTATTAACCAATTCTACAGTACACCTTGTCTCAGTTAGTTTACAAAAAAGACTTTTCGAACTACAACCCCATCATGCTTTTGATTTGTTGTTCGAAATAAAAAAAATTAGGCATACTTATAACAACCAAACGTTTGCTCAACGTGTTAGCGTTAGAATCACAATAGTCTCGCTAACCGAAGCAGTGATTTTCGTACGTCCAATCAAAATTAAAATTACCGTAAACTGCCATGAATAAGAGCCTATCGTGAATAACGATAAGGGCCCCTCATATAAAAAAATGGCTGCCGTGAATAAGGGCCGTAATATTATGAAATAGCCACCCCCTTTATCACGTCAACAATTGACGTCATATATTACTTTATTTGATTTATTATAATTCAACTTCACAAACACCCTCTCCCAGCACCTTCCTTCCATATTAAATTGTCTTCTGTACCATTGAGAATCATTAGATAGCCCACAGTTTTAAAGGAGTTCACTATAATATCACATCGCGAAGTAACCGTTGTTCGAGTAATCATTGCGCGATTAATCTTGGCTTAACCAACAAATAAATATGAGCTATGACAACAAATAATAATAATGCGAACTATATTAAGAAAGGCGAGTTTGAAAATCATGAAATGGTGGTTCGTGATTATGTAATAAACAGAGTTAACGCGGACAGTTGTTACGTGACGATTCGTAGATCATATTGCATTGTTTTTAAGGTGCAACCAAACATTATATGATGAAGGTGGGCCCTTATTCATGGCAGTTTACTATTACGGTACATTAATTTGACCCGCTTATTTATTTTTGTAACGCATAATGTTTTATTTCTCTGTGCCCGAATATATTACAACTTTGTACAATGGTAAACGAATGTTTTTGAGTTAATTTATACAGGTGAGTCTTGATGTTACCTTCGGCGTTTCGCGGAGCGTCATCGGCAATAATGGCTTATAACACAAATATCATGAGTATACAACAAAGTCACAACACACCAATTACCACACGTTCGATTACCATCAATGCAGTAGGAAAATGTCCATAGACGCCCTCATAACCGTCAGATAATAATGTCCTACTCGCAGTCCCATTCGTTGTCCCACTTGCAGTTCCCCTCGCAGTCCTACGCGCAGTCCCCCTCGCAGTCCCCCTCGCAGTCCCCCTCGCAGTTCCCCTCGCAGTCCCACTCGCAGTCCCACTCGCAGTCCCATTCGTTGCCCCATTTGTAGTTTCTTCTTTTCTCTTTTCCCTTCCCTTTCCGATTACCAATGTTTTCTGCAGTTATCTCCCCTTCTTCCTCCGCCATTCCCTCTTCCTCTGCTGTTTTTACCGCGCTTCTAGACAAGACTAATATGTGTAAGTATAAGTATCAAAATAATAAATATATGTAATGCCCGACGGCTTATTTTCATTATAATACAAATAGTTGTCGTCGAGATACTCGAAACTGTTCACTCTTTTTATAACCAGCTAATCTTATTATCATGGCTTGTCAACATTTTAATTTACAACAATTCAAGATGTATAGAGAACTTTAGCCAATTTTTAGCCGGTCAAAACAAACGTGAACCAAGTCCATGGTTCGAATTAATATGTATACAAAATTAGACGTTTTGTACGCTCAAAAGAAAGTTCTCTCCGGCCGAATACGTATCGATATGGTTTGTTATTGAACTGTCCTAATAATAACGACATTTGGGGGGGGGGATGATATTTACCGTTACAGTGGAAAGATTTAACTTGGCGTTGCACTAAACGCTACCCCTCACAAACATTATGCAATGTTTGTGTATTAACGAACAATAATGGTTGTTAAACAAGCTATTTCTAATCGGTAATAAACCTGTATACAACAGGTACAGAAGGTATTTATAAATATCTAGTCGTCATTTCACATATTTGCTAGGCTAAATCACATGTGAATTAGATTCCAGCTTTCAGGGGAAGAAGAAAAAAAAAGGCTTAGTCTCGCCAACACATTTAGTATGACGTTATCACTATTCATGATAATCTTTAGTAATGGATTTGATGATTGAAGGTAGATTGCATCACTTGGCTTCATCACATAACGATATGTTTCCCCATAATGACTTCACTACTGTGGTGAACAAGTCTAAAGCGCAGTTCCTACTCGATAGAGCAAGTTCGGTATTTGTTACACGAGGATGGATTGTACTTGGGATTTTTACCTGATTATCAAATCTTTAACGATGCTCTCACAATGCCCACCATACAACTTTCGAAGTGATACACCGTGATGTTTAAGTTTCTAGTCATTGGTCTGCAACAGTAATGTTCGACGCTGTGATGAGAAAGGCCAATGTTGAGGATGATGTGTTCGACGTAATCAATGCGCTTATTGTAAACGGAGCCGGGACTATTGGTGAGCTTAAGATTATACAACTTTGCTTGCTTATTAATCATCACCTTACGTAATAGGGTAATCAACTTCTTTACGCACTCATCTCCATGTTCCGTTTACAACTATGAAACTGGCGGATTGACATATCATTCCAGTACACGTAACTTGCAAAAATGCTATCAGATCTCCAACGACGTAGACTATGCACCATGGCGCTTGAGAATACATTGAACGAAGAGCTATTTCCATTATCCCAGATTGCAATATCTCCTTTATAACGATATCAAATGCATCCCGACTCATGTAGAGACCAGAGATAATATTATACCAAATCGGAGACTCAAAGACTTTATATGAAGGATATGGTAGCGAGTAAGTTGACCGATTACGAAGATATTGGTTTTCGCTCAACGTTGTGGCATAATCATTAATAATAATAATATGCGCAAACTATTAGTTGTCAGTTTTCTACCGGCTTAATCAGGCATCAGATGTCACAGTTTCGCTAACAACCTGTTGGTGGCAGCCACTAAATATGAATTGGGAGCTAATTGTTCGTCAGCTAGCTTCTGAGCTATCTCCATGCGAATACTAAATGCGGAGTTTGAACCAAATGTATCCATGATATCCGAATTGGCAAAAGGGAGAATACATTTATTTGACAAAGATGAAACTACAGCTGGCAGGAAGTAATGATACATGATATCAAACAACACATAATACTTCTCGAAAATCAATAATAACCATTGAGAGAACATTTCAAACGTCTGTCTCTTGCTGATCATCATGTTCAGCGTAGAGGTTGTAATAAAAATAAGCATGCAATATATAACATGAGAATCACACTACCAAGTGTGGGGGGATGTACGAACATAGTCTATAAAGTCACTATCCAACTATCAGCATAAAGATACCTGTAAGCAGTCGATTATTATGTGCTATTACTAAGCAACGGTGCCAATGAAAGATATAAGCGGGCTTATAATACATAATAGCGACAATAGATACTCGCTTCAAATTAGCCAATATAATGTTATTGATTGGAAAGAACGGTTTTTACGCGGCATGGTAAAGAATACATACAAAATTTCGACCGAAGCTGTTATTAATAAGCCAAAAAAGTTAAATCACCACTCCCAATGCTCGTGGTGGTATGGTGCGTATTGGTGCGTATTGGTGCGTATTGGTGCGAAGTGGACGGTATGTGTGGCAGATTAAACGAAATCGATTTTTTAGAGTCCTCTATCCTCTTAATGTTCAGAAGCCCACATTAACGTATTAACATAGCATTTATGCAGTTTTTCATCTGGGGCACTGGGATTGTAGCAGAGTCTGTACAAAATATCACGCATCGCCACCCCCAAATCGACATGGTCTTCAAATATTTTCTTCCGATGTGGTTCAGGGAGACCACCACTCCTGAGTCCGACAATCGCTTCAATCTTATCAATGTTCTTCAAAGATCCCCCAATAGTATACTCTTTTGTTATTATTATCAAACATTATCTTAAATTCAAAAAACTGCAAAATTACCTCCCAAAAAATTTAGAAAAAAGTCCGTTTAACTCATTCCTTTCGCTGGGGCCATTAAAAATATATCTTGCTCGGATCACGTAATTCGGCAAATTTTTCTCTCTGGACCTTTTTTGAGCAATCACAATTGCAACCTGGCTCCAAGAAACGTATCCCTTTTTCGTATTCATTCGAACCATTGTATTCACTATTTTTCATATACGGATAATTGTACATGTAACCCTTCGCCCAACACATTATATTTCTCTAATGTTATCCGGTTTCAAACATACAGAGGAATTCATCTCGAATTGGCAGGAAATCCAATACAATTGGGTCCGGGAGAAGTTGTCGATGAATCGTGATTCTAGGAACTGCATCATGATACAAACAATCCAAAGAAATGTTGATGACACATTGACCTGGTATAATGTTTGTCGGGTTCCATATTGGTCGTGGATACCAAATTCAAACTAAAAATCAAACATCACGTTAGAAGTTTGACACTTTGATAAAAAAATGATCATTGTTTGTTTATGACATTACATAAGCCGAGGTTGGATATCTTCCGGGTCTGTCTAAAAATGCCATGCCTGGTGCGGGTTAAATTCTTTAAATGACAAACAAACAATGAAATATCATGTGCACTTAAGGAATATAACTTACTTGCATCCGTATAAGGAAGTTGGCCTAGAGGTACTTAATCGATCTTAACAACGATTGCATCATGAACGGACTAAGATTACCTAGCCAGTAATCTTTCACCTTTTTCAGGACACGCTCTTCACTCTCAGAATACGCCACTCCGACAACGAAATTCGGCCAGGGTTCATCCTGAAATCGTGAAAATATAAATCTTAGCTCTGAAGAGTTTACAGCCAATAAAATAAGGTATCTGTCCATCACTCCCGTTTGGTGGTTGCTCTCGTGGTTTTGAAGGGCGAAAACATGCAACCGCTTCTTTCCCAGAATCGTCAGCGCGAGTTCTTAAGAAAAAAAAAAGATTTGTTTGATATTGCAAACATAAGGCTGACAATCAATTAATTAATATTTACGAATTGAACCGAGATTCCCGATGCTGGCGTCAGTTCGTTTAACAGGAAGACATTTTGTCGCTATTGCCACCAATAAGAGTTTCGTGTGGCTTTGATGGAAGTTCATAAACGATGACTTTATAATCGACCCATTCCCAATAACCACGAATGTTAAACTTGTCCGAACGCTGTTCATATTGACACCAACAGCAAGTGTGTACGGAAGTCTTGATACAAGTACCAAAAATTAGCTTTTATCTCACTAGATCATGAAAATAGCAAGTCACCTCAAAACAAGTTAGGAAAGGGACTCACGTTGCTTCTTCCCATTTTGCTTTTGGATTGAAGTCGCCTTTTTCCCACCACAGGGTTCGATAATAATGGTACTCTGGCATTCTTTTTTGGAACAACATCAACGGTCCGCTAAAGACTAGTTCCGGAAAAGATTAGAGTTACACGTACAGTACCCGGCGAAAGTAATGGAACTATGGTTAAGTAATGGCGGTGAGGATGTCGCATGATTTTTTGGGAGCAGCACAAACGCGTTCCGAATTGAGATATAATTTTAGTCGGACAGTCAGGCGCACTTTCTTTTGACAGCCTACTTTTTTCATAATAATAAAAAGATTAAACTGTATTTGCTATTTGTACTAGTACGCTAATCTACGGTTGATCTGGCATTATTTAGGAAAATACGCTAACCATTTTTCTGAAAATTTTAAAGTCCGGCTGTATATATTAATATATTAATATTAATATAGACGAAGACTGACTCACATTTTTCGCCTCCGCACTCGTATTCTTTTATTCCATCAAAAAAAATTTTTTCGTGTACATTTACTCTAATACCATTTTCCTGATATTTTTTTTGCCTGAAAAAATTAACACAGTGAATGAAGGAATTACTCGCTTTCCCATGCCGGTTTGAAATTTACATCCTGTTTCTCGTACTTATTACGCTGAAATTAATTTTGCGAGCGTACCATCATTCAGTTTCTTTACTTACATAATAAAAAAATTAATTCTGCGTTTGCAAATAAACAAACGTTGTTATTTGTATACCTTAATTATTGTCTATTACATATGTATTTAATTTTATTTTTAATTGAGAAGAGACCTGGTAATGTCTTTGTTATTACTTAATTAAAATTATCGCTTTGTGTAAAAATAATTATCTGAAATAATGTATTGAATAAGACGGCAATACCTGTATGGGTAATCAGCGTCCAAATTCGTTTGTTATGTTTAATTGATTGAAATTGTAGTCGCTGACGATATTTTTGACTGCACAAGTTGATCATAAATCCCTGTTGTTTCAGGTTCGTTTCTATGTTATGCATCATCAGATGCTTATGTTCGGTGTGACCTATTTAAATTTTTGTGCGCATGAATTAACGATGCAATTACTTTTTCGATTGGTCTTTGCAACATGCAACATTACGATTTGGCTGCACGATGCATCATCGGATGTTAGCATAATACATAAACAATTTGTTCAGCAACAACCTTTTTCAATCACTGCTAAATAATTGTCGTTATCAAACTTGTCCGGATGGAATAGTGCGCTCTTGAAGTAAACGAACGTTCGTTGCTATGCTATTGACATTTAATATACAGTGTGTAACAAAAAAAATTGGAAAAAATTATCGGTAATGTAAACAGCTCTAACTCACCCAATTTGGATCTAAATTGCGTCGCAAATATTTCAACCAAACGCGAAATTTTGTTTTATATATATTGAAAGTTTATTTTGGTATTATTATGTAACTCATTTCATAATTTATTTTCAAAATATCTTCTGCTGAAAAGTAAGCACAACGTCAAGCTATATTGATTACATTTTTAGAACGAGGGTGTCAATCTGCAAAAAAATTGCACATTTTGACTAAGATACCACCATCAACAATCTATTATAATATTGAAAAATTGAAAAGCATAGTGCGTAAGGGAAGTAATGGCCGACTAAAAAATTACGCGTGGCACAACACAAACCATCGGTCAGTACATTCGAAGAGACACGTCTGAGAACTTTGGCAACTAGGCTGACAGGAAAAAGTGTCACATGAAAGTTTTTGAGATATTTGAAAGATCTTGGTTACCAGAAAAGCATTCCACAGGCCACCCCTATGTTGACTGCTAAACACAAAGAAAAGCGCGTTGAATGGGCAATCAAACATCTAAAATGACTAGTCAACACATTATTTAGTAATAAAACAGCTTTTCCACTGTTTAGAAATACAGTTTCTCGCTGGTATAAGAAAGCCCAGTCCGATGCATCCCAAAAGATAGAACGAAAATTATGGTGTGGGGTGGCTTGTATGAAAGGCAACCTCGCTGTTTTGTTTTTTTTGAAATAATGGATGCAAACTTGTATGTAGACATTATTAGAAGACATATTCCAGAGATCAACCAAATGTTGGGAGACGCTCGGCAATTTCAACAAGACAATGATCCCAAACATACCAGCAAAATTGCCAAATCGTTTCTCAGCAATAATGTGCCCAACTTAATGGACTGGTCATCTAACAGTCCAGATCTAAATTCAATTGAAAATTTCTGGAACATTGTCAAGACATAGACTACCCAAAAATCGTGGTAATTTGGTGCAATTTATGAAGGAAGAATGAGAAAAAATTCCTGATATGGTTCTAATTAATTTAGTTAACTCGATGAAAATACATTGCGAGCTTGTTATTGAAAAACAGGGTGAAAGAATACCATGTTAATATATAATTAAATAAATCCAGAAGTCTTGACCTTTTAAATGAGAGAGAATTGAGCGAAACTGAAACAGGCGATAAAATCGGGGCCTTTAACCAGAGACAGTCCGTCTATGAGGCATTTATGCAAATGAATGTGGAGAGATAAAAAATTATTTGATTTAATAATATGCAATATTCAATTTATTCCACATTTATTTTTATTCACTGGTTGTTCTTTTGCATCAGGTTTTATTTTTTTTGTTACACACTAGAAATCGGTCAAGATGTCGTCAATAAGGTGGTCCAAGGCGTGCCAGAATATTACGTATAAGTATTTTTCTATTGCAACTAATGGACATCGTATAATTGATATGC